AATGACCAAAATGAATCAAAGAAGTCAAAACGCGAGTATAGCTCAACGGTAATTGATATATATCTCCAACCAAGATGTTGTGAGTTCGATCTCTCATCCCACATGTTGTACTAAAAAGAATGAACTAAACAAATTAGCGGAACCAAATTATTATTTTAACCCAAAATTTTGAAAGAGCAGAATTCTATTTAAAAAAAAAAACTAGTTGAGAATTGACTAATAAGGGAAATTTAATATTTAAGTAAAGGATAAAAAAATGGAATAAAAAATATAGAATTCAATAGTTTATATTAGGAGAAGTAAATGTGTCAAGTTGAACCACACCCACCCCAACCCCCGTCCGTCCACTTCATTTAATAGCAATTAATTGTTATCAATTGAAGCATTAATTTATAGGTGGTTATGTGATGAAGCATTGTATACAACTATCGCCAAAATTTAGGATCGCTGGGTAACGTTCTTGTTATTCGTTTCTAAATTTCTTAAGACATCTAAGTATTTTACTACTAATTATGTTTCTTGTTTTTTTTTTTTTAAATTATACAAAAATTTTGAAAACAACCAAAAACAAGTTTTTCTTTCTTGTTCTCATTTCTAATTTGTTCCAAAACATAAATAAAAAGCTTGTTTTGTCGTATTTGAATTCATGAATGTTGGAGTCATGTAATTCATTTTTCTTTATTAAAAATTAATGAAGAAATAGATACAAGAAACATGAACATTACCAAACGGGCTCTTAATTTTCACAACAAAAATTTAATATTTTTTCTATAAAAAGAACTATCATTTTGCAAATAAACAAAGGAACGAAGTTGGAGAAGGGAAAAAGTTCAGTCCTACGAGATTACCATACTCTCTTTTGTTTACATAATAAATAGAACGGATGGACTCTATATTATTTTTAATACAGTATTGACGTGACGAGCAATGAATAAAAGAAGTATGATACCTCCCGTGGTACAATAAATTTTCAAGAGATCTTGTTGCTAATGGGAAGATAGTTTCTATTAGTGTTTGATGCTTCTTCACAGAGGTCTTCAGAATAATTAGTTTGCTTGTGGAACAATTATTTAGTAATTGTTTGGGACATTATTCTTGTACAGCTTGACCCTCCCCCGAGTACACTATCGTCAACTTTACTTGCTAGCCTTACAGATTAGAATTTTTCGTAACAACTAAAAAATGTCATTGTTTCTATTTTTCGTAACAATTAAAAAATGTCATTGTTTCTCGTATTATTCATTCTATGAGAAATGTACTTCATGTACTAACTTCAACTTGACATGCGTCCTCGTAGAGGGATCTTCCATCCACTTAATTTAATGATTAAATATTTTTATGAAAATAAAAATGAAAAATGAAAAATAATTTGAAATATTTTACTAAACAAGCCCCAAATTGTTTTAGGTTTTAATAAATTGAACATCTTTTAAGTATTTGGTTTATGAGTATGTCAATATTTTATTTGTATGGAATTTTAACTAAAATTCATTACTTAATGAATGTGTATTATACCTTTCTTTTTAAAATATTACAACATGAGTATAGGAAGATTCAGAACCTCCAGCCTTTTAAAAATTTCATACTTGTTGAGTCAATTTTGTTTATACTCAACATATCTCTTATATTTTAAATATAGGTTACTCATTTTTTAATTTTATATATTAAAGGCTAAATACATGTTTTACTAGCTAAATGTTTGGGCTTTTTTTTTTAATTTAGTCTTTATTATTTCATAATAAGGTTAAATTTAGTCTCTAATATTTTAATATTTTTAAATTTAGTCCTTCACAATTAGTAAAAGTTAAATTAAAACAAAAAATCTCTAACATTTAAGGACTAAAACATATATTTATCCTAGACTAAAAACGAAAAATTATCTTTTACTACTTTTCACCAGTTCTCCTAAATAAATTAGGACTTTGACAATCAGATTAAATTAAACTCAACTCAAAGAATGTAGGTCAATATCCAATTAAAATTTTCGTACCCTAAAATTTGTTGTACTAAAAAAAATCACCGTGAATAGAGTAAAAGAAAAGAAAGGATATGAACGATCATCCCCGCATCTTATATTAATAAAAATTATATAAAAAGATAAAAATTTAAAAATTTCTCTCAAATTTACTTTCTTTAAAATTTCAAAATGGGAAGATTATTCTTATGAAAAGTTATAATATTTTTATAAAAAGAAAAATCATAATGTAAAATTATGTTCCTTCATATGTATATTTCTGACCCAAGGCTTCTGTAAATAATTCTCATTGCAACTTAACTAGGTAATAATTTAGTCCTTTGAACTTTAATTTGTAACAATTTAGTCCTCTAATTTAAAATCTATCACAGTTTAATCTCTATCGTAAAAAATCTTATCAAAATTAAGTGTTAAGTTTTATCATATAACAATTTAATTTTTGTAATTTATAAACATATTTGATATCTCATCAGTTTATCAATCTATATATAAAAAAAAAACTTAACAAAAAAATTTCACGATAAGGACTAAATTTTTACAAACTTCAAATTACAAGAACCAAATTATTACATGTGAAAGTTCGGTGACTATTGTTACCAATTTGAAAATACATGGACTAAATTGTTACAAACTAAAAATTTAGGGACTAAATCGTAAGTTTAGAAACTAAATCGTTATTTTAACGAAAATACAACGACCAAAAATATTTTTTAACCTACTAATAATTATCGTCCATTTGCAAGATACATTTTCTTCAACATAACATTTAATGATGATAAGTTTGCATTGAAATTTCAATTAAATCACATTGACACTTTTTGGAAAGGAAATTAGTGATGGTATGGTATCTCTAGTCAAACTCAAACCATCTTTGTTGGAGAAGATGAGGAAGAATTAAGTGTGATAGTTGTGCATTTTTTTTTATACCATATCAACAAAAACAATTATTTTTAAATTATAGTAATAAATATCTTTAAATACTATACTTGAACAAATTATTAGTGAGAATTAAATTGAATTATCTCGAGTAAGAGAAGATGAGCTCGAGAGGCTAACTAAGATACATACCGACTCTTACAATGGGGACCTCTAATCATAAAATTTTGGTTTTCATTATAAAAAAAAAAAAAAGGTTAAAAAACACTTTTTTTCCATGTACTTTCGCTAAAGTAACAATTTAGTCCCTAAACTTTAATTTATAACGATTTAGTCCTCGTACTTTTAAGTTGGTAACAATTTATTCCTGAACTTTAATATGTAACAATTTAGTCTTGTGACTTAAAGTTGGTAACGATTTAGTCCTTATCATGATTTTTTTTTTGTTAAGTTTCTTATATATATAGATTGATAAACTACTGAGCGACCAAATATGTTTATCAATTAGAAAGATTAAATTGTTATACAATAAAATTTGACGCTTAATTTTAATAAAATTTCTTAGAGTAAGGATTAAAATGTTACAAATTTTAAACTACAGGGACTAAATCGTTATAAGTTAAAATTCAGGGACTAAATTATTATTTTAGTGAAAGTACATGGACTAAATTTTTACAAACTAAAGTTCAAGGACTAAATTGTTACTTTAATGAAAAAGTACCGGGACCAAATTTGTTTTTCCACCAAAAAAATAAATATACTATTATTTTTAATTTACTCTCATATATAAGTGAGGTAGGGGTTTAATTATTAAATTCTTTATTTCTTATATTTACTTTTTCTAAATTAAATTTAGTGTTGATATAATTAAATAGTTAAAATTCATTAGTGGCGGATCCCTAGAACTTTATACCAATGAGACTCGAACTTGAAAAGAGGGGACCACTAGGCTAAAGGGTTAATTTGTTAACTTTCAATAAATTATTGAGCCAATAATAGAATATACTTCAAAGTTCACTCAAGTCAAAATCAAATCAAATGATAGCTTTTTAAAGAAATGCCTAAACTCAACTGCGAAAATAATACTCGAATTCGACCACAAAATTAAGAAACAAAAAGACCCTTAAACTCAACAACAAAATGCTCAAATCCAACCAAATAGAAATTATTACATAATTCAAATTTTAATCTTTTGGGACTAAAATAGATACAACAATTAAAGTTTCGAGAACTAAAGTTACAATTTGAAACCAATACGAACTTAGGCCCTGTTGAATCGTAATGAAAATTTTGATTCGCTTTGATGGTTTTTACCAAATTGTAGGAATGTAATCAAATGGTGGAACTCACCTCAAACTTTGTAATCCCATTACATGAAAAGGTGTAATCTCATTACACTCTTCCAATCCCATCAATCTCATTCTCATTCCTTATTTCGTGGACCCCACATATATATTATAATTAATATACCACTTTTACCTTTCTCTCTGTCTTAAATTAATATAATTTTTAATTAGTTTTTTTTATACTTTTATAATTTCTTCTCCATTTATACTCCAGTTTTTATTAGTTGATGTGATTTTATTATATAATATTAATATCAATTAGTATCAATAAATTTTTTAAATAGATATTATTACTTTTAAATATTAGAATAATAAAACTTAATAATATGTTTTATTAAAATTTGGTTGTTCTAATAAAAAATATTTTATTTAAAGTAATTTTATTTTAATTATTCATTATGTATCAATATTAGATAAATTGTTAGAAATATTGCCATCAATAATATAGTTATAAATTAAATTAAAATGTATTATTATTGTAATTTAAAAAAGATTAGCACAATAATATATTTGTAATTGGCTAAAAAGGAGAAAGAGGTATATTAATAATTATTTAATTTCAATTCCAGACAAACAACATCAATGAAATAACATTACGATTCCGATTGATTTCATTACGATTGATTTTTATTACGATTTATTTCCTTACGATTGCGGTTAAGTAAACCTTGTCTTATTATACTTTTTTTTCGAGTTGAAAAATGCAATTTGCACGAAAAGACAATTTCAATAAATTACATTACGTGGGGCCCACATACCTACACAGCTACTACACTACAACTACAACAGAAAGTAGAAACTCCTCTCTCTCTCTCATTCAATTCAATTCCTCTGCAAACTTTCTTTTTCCCTCTCCATCTCCATTTCATCTCCATAGCCCATCCAACAAATCAATTCCTTCCAATTCATAATCCTCACCGATATTTCTCCGGCGATTCGACGGATTCCAGATGGAGGAGTCTCGCGCCAATGCGTTGTTCCAGATGAGGAA